CCAAGGGGAGGGGAATGGGCTATTCTATATATCAATCGCTTTAGCACCTAAATATTCAGATTTCGCTTCGCTATGCCTTTAATCATTCTTAATTAGTAAAAGTACACTTGATTTCCTCACATGGAGACTTATGGTCTTTCTTTCTTAATTATCTAATGGAGAGGTGCTGACACAAACATGCTTCAACACAACACAACCTAGTGAAACCAACCAAACATATTTTTAAAGCTTGTTTTGATCATAAGAGACATTCAACATCAAAGCATTTTTCCAAGTGGAGAAATGGGGCCTCACTGGGGTGAACTGAGATTAATGAAAAAAGTGAGGGTGATTAGTGGTTGGTGTGTGATTACCCCCATCAGTTGATTTCCAATGATTTAATAAAGTAGCTGCTGTCTCATGTCACAATATTTTTTAGAAATCAAATGCAAAAATGCTCTAAAGTCAAAATAATTTTTTTCAAATCTCTCTGCATAAATCAGAGACTCTTGTGTCTCATTATATTTTCTCTACAATTAAGATGGGGCCTCAGTAGGATAATGTAGCATTTGGGAAAAAAGATACAAGCCAAAAGACCAGCCCCAGAGACCAAAATGGAGAAGATCTCCACGGCCACAATGGACTTCCCTATGGTGCTCAGGTAGGTGGGGAAGAAGGTAATCCAAACACTGCAAAAGACCAGCATGCTGAAAGTAATGAACTTGGCTTCGTTGAAGCTGTCAGGCAATTTCCTAGCCAGAAAGGCCACAGAGAAACAAACCAGGGCCAAAAACCCCAGGTAGGCGAGGACAGCATAAAACATTAAAGCTGACCCTTCATTACATTCCAGGATGGTCTCTCCTACTAAGGAGTGGAAATCAAAGTTGGGAAATGGGGGAGAAGTTGCTAACCAGGTGACACAAAGAACTGCTTGAATCAGGGGACAGGCTAAGATAATGGAGTTGGTCAGTGGTTTTCCTAAGAGTTTCCTTGCTCTGTTCCCTGGCTTAGTGGCCATGAAGGCTAGAACCACCATGGCGGTTTTGGCCAACACAGAGGAAACTGCAAGGGAAAAGAGAATGGCAAAGGAAGTTTGTCGTAAGAGACAGGTGAAGTTCCCAGGTCGACCAATGAAAAGGAAGGAGCAGAGGAAGCAGAGCAGAAGGGAAACCAGGAGGATGTAGGTGAGATTTCGGTTGTTGGCCTTGACTATTGGTGTGTCATGATGTTTATGGAAAATCACCAGTATTGCAGATGTGATCACAGAAAGGAAAAGAGCTAGAGAAATCAAAATGTATCCCAGGGTCTCTTGATAACTGAGGAAGTGGATCTTCTTGGCAATGCAGTGGTCCTTGTCCTTGTTGGGATATTGGTCTTCTGGGCAAGGGTCACATTGGGCTGCATCTGAAAGTAAGAATTTTGTGTAAGGATATCAGCTTCCTCTGCCATGAGCATTATCCCTCCCCAAAGATTGACATGACTGTCCCTTTTTTGCTCTGGCCAACCCACAAATGAAGTGCGTAGTGATAAAATATACTTGATGGTGCATCAAAAAAGGGAAATCATGCGTCATTCAGGATGATTCTGGGGAAAGGTAAGCCAGAGAATAGAATCTGTTCAGTTCCAACTGGCTTGGTTAGTGTTTGTGAGAAAGAAAAGTCCATTCACTGCTAACTTGTGACTGCTGTGGCTTTCAGTGTGGGAGAGATTACAAACTTTCCTTTTCCACTTTAAACTGGAATCCCAAGAAGATATATCAGCCAGGAATCCTGTATTTTGTGTGCACACTCTTTGTTGGTTACCCCTGAGAAGCCAGCCTGATGCGGAGATGAAATGCATCATCAGTCATGAGTCCCTTCTCACCCACAAGAGATCTAAGTCCAGCTCATGTTGAATTCCATGGACTTTTATCCACCACCAATTCGCTTTGACTGTTAGTAGTTCAGATTCTTGAATGGATCTTAAGATTACAACAAGCATTTATATTCATTTGAACTGCTTGAATTTCCTGATTTCCTCATGCTTCTCTGCTTTCTATTTCAAATCTGCTCATTCAGCCTTATTTTGCAGGAAGGGTTGTTATTATTTATTAAGGGTTATTATTTATTATTACCTATTACATACTATATGCCCCCTCTCTCACTTATAAGGCGGCTCTTGGCAGCTAGTAGAGAGAGAAGGGTGGATCTCCTCGTTCTCCAACAGGTGTATCAATTCTGTTGGGGACAGAAGATGCCGACAGAAGAGGGACACCTTAAGTAATGAGTGCTAAATCTTCACTCGCAGAAGCCCCTCTTTCAGAGACCTGGCAGATCTTTTTCCTGATGGGACGTGACAACAGGGAAGGCTAGGAGGGGACCCATACACTCTACCCTCAAAGTATCCTGCATTGAATTATCGAGGAACAGAAAAGTGGCCTGTTGGGTCAGAGCAGCTCAAGGTCCACAGTTGCAACCTTTGCAGCATCCCCAGAGTCATGTGATCAAAATACAGATGCTTGGCAACGGCATCATACTTATGACCATTGCTGTGTCCCAGGGTCATGTGATCACTATTTGTGACCTTCTGACATGCAAAGTCAATGGGGAAGCCAGATAAACTTAATAACCATGTTACTGAAGGGATTCGCTTAACAACCGAGGCAGGAAAGGTCATAAAACAGAGCAAAACACACTTAACAAATATCTCACTTAAAAAAAGAAATCTTGGGAATTATGGTCATAAGTTGAAGGCTACCTGTATATATATATATATATGTATGTACCATGTTTCTCCCAAAATACGACATGTCCCGATACATAGCCCAGTCGGACTTTTCAGCACATGGATTAAAATAAGCCCCCCACCCAACCACTTAATTGCATGCACGAGTAGAGCCAGCAGGAGTTCACCAAATATGAAAGGTTTAAGGTTTAATGTTTATTAAAATTTGTATGCCGCCCACTCCCATCGGGACTCTGGGTGGCTCACAGCAAGACAGAAACAGTTTAAATTTAAAAATAGAAAAATACAATATTAAAAATTCACATCATCCATTACATCTAAGCAGGGACTGGATATCCATCAGCAGCCCCAGGCCTGCTGGAACAACCAGGTCTTAACGGCTTTACAGAAGGCCGGGAGAGTGGTAAGGGTCCGGATCTCTGCAGGTAGATCGTTCCACAGGGCCAGCACAGCAACAGAGAAGGCCCTCCCCCAGGGATCCGCCAACCAGCATTGTCCGGTTGACGGCATCCGGAGGAGGCCCAGCCTGTGCGATCTTGTTGGTCATTGGGAGGTGAGTGGCAGGAGGCGGTCTCTCAGGTAGCCAGGTCCTAAACCATGTAGGGCTTTAAAAGTAACTAGCACATTGAAGCGAGTCCGGAGACCAATGGGGAGCCAGTGCAGCTCGTGGAGGATCGGTGTAACATGGGTGTATCTAGATACACCC